ACGAGTATCGTGTGAATTTTGTATAAAAAAGAAGAATATAGCTCAAGGAAAGAGGGTTCATTAACTATTTGTAGAACTGAGAGTTTATTGTGCCTACCTGCGCCCAATATCCACCTTAGTGAACTCAACATGACGATGTGGCGATTAGTAAATCACCTTAATCGGTTCATATGGGTGAAGTATTTATAGCTTTCATCTGTAACCAAACTCTGAGCCACTGTTAAACATTTTCCCAGCCCTATAACTGGAGAGCAATTCATTCAGTTGCTTCGTCTTATCCAAAGAACTGCATGAACTATTATATTGTAGCTGTTTTTTATGCTGGAACCTGTGCTAGATAGAACCAAAGGACAAGTGACTCGCCATCTGCGTAAGCTGCCAAACATCAACTAGGTGCCTAATTTCACTCAGGAAGGATTCTTAGGAGTTATTGCGATGGGCAAGACCGCCATGTCTTACTAGTCGGACAAAATGTGGGCTTGTTGTATCTAAAACACTTATGCCTACTTTCAGCTAACTTCACTAAAGCTCTCAACCACTCTTTGACCACTCTTGCTCAGACCCGACATCTGGAAACAGAAGTTCCCTTTGAAATCGGCACTGGAATCAGTTGTGTCGCACCTATCATTCACCAATCATATGGGCGGCGCAGCAGCATATAACCCTCATTTCCTCCGCGCCATGAATTTCCGGAATGATCGAAAAGAAGATGGTGTGTTGTTCAAGTTCCAAACCTGGAAACTCGCTCAATTAAGAGATGGGAGTCTCCTTCTCAGCGTCCGCTCCGGATATTTTAATCGTTTGTGAGAAAGTAAATGGTTAATTCTTCGATTTGTCTACTTCTTTATTAACAGACATATGGGACGCGAAATCTATGGCTACTCTCTGCAGCTGGACGAAGGGATTTCGGTCAAAGCGGATGATAAGAAAATTCCGACCATAAAAATCCAGAGCGAAAATAATTCAGCAATACCAAACAGAACCGCTAAACGCAACGGGATCCCGACTGCTATTGAAGATCGTTTACAGCAAGTCAGTGAACCCTTTCCTAAATTATTTTTCCGTGAGTGGCGTCAAAAAGCCTAACCTCCGTGAGCATTGAGTAATCCGGACCCAACTAAGGTATAGATACTGTAACACCTACCTACATAGACTCTACTCTAAGGTATGTCTAGCAGGTAATAATAGGATACGATCTTATTTCATTGCGTTTCTCTTAAAGCCAAGATATCACACCTAGCTTTTTGGTCCGAACTAGTCAGGGGTCTTCCTATGGATGGCCGCATTGGCATAAAAAAAAACAACGACTGAAATATTGCAAGATTTTGCTAATAGTTTCCGGAAAAAAATGAAAATATTTTCTCCAGACATTTTGCAGAGGACTTCAAGGGAGAAATCGGATAGAGTTACCCGCTGCAGACTGCGACAAGGTTGAACTTGTCCAATTGATCAAAATTCGAAAAAATAGTCGACCAGTGTAAAATGCGATCCGACTGGAGCAAAGAACCAATGCGAATGTTTTAGAGGATATGCCAGGCAAGAGATTAAGCTGGGTGGAAACTTAGTTCAGTGAAGTGAAAGGCTTCCAATTTCCTATACGCCCACAAGAGATCCCACGGTAAGTAATGGAGCTTAAGGCCGACTTCTTTTCGCTAAATATTTCCTATTAGTGGATGATATTCTTGTACAGTGAACTGCCCTAGTTAAATCAACAAACATCAACCTGGGTTTAAAAAGGTTTAAAGAACCTTGTGTATCTATATTGAAGGCTTCGTTCGTTGTTAATGAAGCGATGAAAACAATACCTCATGATGTGCTCTATATTTTTCTTCCCAGCTTAGCAGGTTATCAGGCCGCAGCACTCGCAGTCCTTCAATTAAGAGAGAGAGAGAAAGAGAGAGGGATAGAGAGTGTGGAACCAAAGGTTCAAGCCTAAAGGAGAATATATTTCTAAAACTGTATGAGGCTTGTCAAATTACTGCCTGGTAGGACAATAGAAGATTCTGTGTCTCTCTCAGAAGATGTTGCTGGAGCAGTAAAAGCGATTAGAAGAAGGAAAAGAAGGGCAATGAGGCTTTGGCAAGTCACTACCTGATAGCACAATGGAAGAGTCTATATCTCACTCAATAGATCTTGCTGGAGCAGTAAGAACGATTAGAAGGTGAAGATATTTTATCATCGACTTCACCAGCTCGGAGGCGCTTTCTGGATGGTTTTCGCGTGGTGGCAGATGAATTTTGTGGTATCTCAATGAGCTTATTCTAATCTAAGTGAGCAACAGAATACAGAATTTTTTATTCTAAATTATATTTTATAAAAGAAGAAAAATATTTTAATTGGCTAAAACTAACTTGAAATCTCCAAAACTAATAAACTTGCTGTCAAAAAACTCTTTTAATAAATTTATAAAATTTCCCCTTTCGATTTATTTTCATAATTTTATTTTTTTTTCCTGAATATTTTATTTTCCTACCCTTAACTTTTATTTGACATAAAGTGAATTGAATTTTTACATCCATTGAGTTGTTCGTAATATCCGTAATTCATTTTCTCCATATTCATAAAAATATATACATACACGTATGTATGTATATTTTTACACAAAGATAAAACTATAAGATACATATGTATATATGTATGTACGTATTTAAACTAATACACAAATATAAAAAAATATATAAAATTAAATTGCAATGCATAAATATTCAATACGAATAATACTGCTGTCGGGGAAATTAAAAAAAAAAATTAAAAAAAAAAAAATTTAAAAAAAAAATACGAAAAATGCACGCAGAAATATCATCAAAAAATCCATTGAAATTCGGACGGAAAAAAATAATTCCACGAAAGTGCTTTCAAATGCAGGCGAGTAGTAGCGAGTATTTGCATATAAAAGTGTGAAGCCATTAGCGTTCGGCGTTTTGGTGTTTGGTCACTGATTGAATCGTTGCACTGTGGTGTGAACGAGCGAAAAGGTGTGCCAAAGAAATGAGGTAGAAACAAGATTGAAATCATTGGAGAGCATACAAAACTACGGCTTTCAATGGACTTATCATTTTAGGTGACTGCCAGGTTATCTATACCGCTTTCTGAGTCTGGTACCCACGTTTCGTGCACCCTGTGAACGTCTGCTATTCTGTTGTTACATGAAAGAGAGGGAGCTCCGACACGCACAATTCTGGTGATATACTCCTTCAACAGAGGTGCAGCTGTATCACGTGTCACTTTCAGTTCATAGCGAAGTCCTTAAGTTGATTTTTGTACTCGGCATGTAAACATATTCCAATACAAAGTAAAAAAGAGCACGGTGCATTAATTTTATTGCGTATGCCCTGTGTCTTTATTGGGCGCAAGAAACACTTAGAAGAATTATAATCAAGTTATCCGCTGATTGGGGCAAGAATGGCAGAAGACAGGACTTTGTGATGTCCATTATGTTCCATAAAGGAATGTAAAAATATAGTGGATTTGAGACCTCAATTCAAAATATATCAAGGTTCTTCATCATTTCTTCACTTAGACTCAGCCTGGGAGGAAGAAAAAGTCTATGGTGTCCAAGATGCATCTTATGAAAGATCAAAACCCGTTTTTAAATCTTCTCTTCGCTACGCTGCTTCCCAAATTAAACAACAAGGTAAGGGAAGAAGGTATCATTGGTTCGGACTGATGGAAATCACCGGAATTCGAGCTACGAAATGTAGAGCCAAAAGTTTGTATATAAAGCTACTTAGCTTAATTCTGAGTTTGAAGATTGAAGTTTAATGTGTCTTCTTCTTGAATGGTGTAGAGACCGCTCAACTAAACCACATCAATCCCTCCTTTTTTAGCTGTGCAGATTCAATTGCCAATCGCCAAAAGCAGCCAGGTCCAGATGGAGGTGGGGAACAGTTTCGAAAATGTTCAAATTTACACTGTAAAGCGTGTTCTCTTAAAATTCTGTATCTTGTCAAAGCCGATGTATTTATTTGTATATCTTATAGCCCGCCATTCCATTCTCTTCGCCGCTGGTGCACTAATATTCAAAAACCTTTCGCAAAACTTTTCTCAAGACGGACGGTATAATCAAAAATGAAGCGACTTTTAGAGCTCCCTCTTTGACTATGTTGGAAGTACCTTTCATATTTTAGATGTGCATTCTCTCAGAGATACCATAATACTCGGATCCAGATGAGCATCTGCCTCGCTGAAGCTAAGAACGGACATCCCTAGACGCAGGAATGGCCTGATGACATTGTATGTATCCCAAACATAGAGCAGGGCGTTTTCCTCTACAAGGTGATCTAGAACTTTTTTCAAATTTTGAAGATCTTTGTAATTTAGGGATAATTAATTAAGTTTTTTTTTCACAAAACGCCCCACAGTGCACTGTCATACCACGATAGTTGTTTGCATGGTTTTGTGACTTGTTTGGCGTCGAAAAATAATAAAAAAAATCTCCAAAAGCTTTAACAAAAATTCCCGCGCTAATCGACTGCAGCATCAAATGCACAACTACAATGAAAGGGAATTAAAAAAAAGCGCCAAATGGAGGAAAAAAACAAACGTCAAAGTGTGCACTTAATCATAAGGACGCTGTTAAGTCAATTTGTTGCAATGGTGGATATCACAAACGGATATCTATGGATCTCACACAAACCAACACAACAAACTCGAAGTGAACGCGCGCGATGGTCGGGCTGTCCGAAAGTTCCATGCATATTCAAACTGTAGGTGGCAGCATTGATGCTCACAATGCAACACTGCGGCCTTTGATAGGCAAATGAGTGTGCCGGCAGAATGAATGCGACTGCAAAAGGGTTTCCAAATTTATGCACAAAAGCAATGTTTTTGGTGTGGATTTATTATTGCAACTGAATGAATTGCATTGAATGCTCAAACTCAATGAATATTAAGGTGAGTGCACACTTTTTACGTAAATGCATACATATATATATATATATATATATTTATCTGAAAACCACTAAAATATAACGCATGAAGTAGAGAAAAACATTTTTATTACACTTTTTAATTGTTTTCACTTGATTTATTCAAATTCTTTTCAATAAAACTCAATTATTTTACTGCAGAAACCAAAAAATACAAATGAATAATTCGCTCATTCAATCCTCATCACGTGGACCGGGATAGTATTTGTTGAGGAAGTGTTTGCCAAAGAAACTTACATCTCCATTGGTCACACGTTCACGCAATTTATTGCACTTCGGCGAGTCGACACGTAATTCAGCCGGACAGCCTTTCCAGAACTGACGCCACATGCAACCGTGGAAGGTTAAGGGCGAACGACTGCAACCCTCTGTCGATTCACCATCCTTCTCGCGTTGTTCGCGTTTCTCCTTCACCACAGCCAGACATGTGTCAACATAGCCTTCCACAGCGTCTATCTTCCATTGTGCATCACCGATTTGTGCGCGTAGACCTTCCAAGATGACATCACGTTTCAATTCGCCCTCTTCATCGAGACTTTTGAGCTTCTTCGCTATACATTCGCTTATACAAATCATTTGTTCCTTGACTTGCTTCATCTTTTCACAATCGAAGGGGTTGAAGGCATCATCGGCTGTGGGGGGGAGAAAATATATTATTTATTCATTATAAAATTATGAGAAAACGTTTTCATTAAATTTTATATAATTTTTCTTTATTTTATTTCGTTTATTTAATTTTTTATTTATTGTTACTGAACTTACAGATTTCGTTTTATTAAAATTTAATTTAGTATAACTTTATAATATTTATAATATTTTTTTAATTTATTTAATTTATTATAGTCTAGTTTATTTAACTTAATTTTATTTTATTTTAATTTTTGTTATTTGATTTAATCTAATATTATTTTGTTTTATTTTATTTTATTTAATTAATTTTTTTATCCCATTTTATTTTATATTACAATTTTTTTCTATTCTTTTTATTTTTATTATAATAATTTAAAATTTTATTTAATATATTCAAACTTATTTTGATTAAGTTTTCAATATATTTTTATTTTACTAGTTACGTTCATTTTAATTTTTTACCATAATTTAATATTATTATTGAGATTTTTTTATTTTATTCAGTTTCAACTTATGTTATTTTATTTTGTTTTATTTTTTTAAATTACTTTCATTTTACCGTATTTTAAACTATATTATATTATTTTAATTTAGTTTTCTAATTTTTTTATTTTATTACAGTCTAGATTATTTAACTTTATTTAATTTAATTTAGTTTTATTTTATTTTATTTTATTTTATTTTATTTTATTTTATTTTATTTTATTTTATTTTATTTTATTTTATTTTATTTTATTTTATTTTTTTTATTTTATATTTTTTTTATTTTATATTTTTTTAATTTACTTTATTTTATTTAATTTCACTTTTTTATTTTATTTTGCCTTTCTTTATTTAGTAAATATATCCTTACCCGGTTCACCCTTTAATTCCGCAATACACTCTTTCTTAACACTCCGAAAGAGTGCCAATTGTTCGCCATTAGCGTTAGAATCTTTACAACAATGCATATCCTTCTTCCAGCTACGTTTATCACATTCCTTGGAATCTATAGCTTCACGGCGTGTCCTCTGCGTATGCACATGACTGACATCATCATCGTCGTAAAGAGATTGCAGCTCTTTGAAGAGGTACTCGTCTAAAGGGTTAAAGATTTTTCCAATTATTTTTTTAGTAGCACATATTATACATATGTTTTTCAACATAACTCACTGAAAGCACTATCATCGAAGTCATAAGCGTTCACGCCCAACAATACCAACATCAATAACAAACTCACAACACACTTCATTTTTGACTGTTTCTTGAACTTGGTTCACGGGAATCCCTACTTGTTACTGACTATATTTGCAAGCTCACGTAGCTTTTATATGCGAAATTCTACTTTGCACAACCCCCCACCCACCAGCCCACAACAGCCTTGAGAAGAACACGCCAATATGTGAGATTAGTTGATAGAAAAGTAGAGTTTTCGCTATATTTAACTCATCAGTCACTCGCCAAGGGGCATCACTTTATTTACACTGTTCTACAAAACATTAAAAAAAATATCTACCTCAAGGATTACTCAAATTTTAATAATTAAAAATAAAAATTAAAAATGATATGAATGAATAGACTGAACTATTGAAAAGAAATCAAAGAGAAATATTTAGTACTTTTCTTGAATTTATGAGAATTTATTGCTAAAAAATTGCTAAAAAAAAATAATAAAATATCATATAATAATTTGCTTGTTGTTAGAGCCAAGCAATAGCACATTTTTCGAAAAAAAACATTAAACTCTCTCGTAAATATTCTAAAGTTTGTTATTCAAATTTTAAAGTTTTGAGTTTCTTAATTTTCGATGACCGACCAGATAGACTGGTGTCATTTTGAAGCAGACCCAGTAATTAATAAAAAAGTACCGGCTGGTGAAACTACAAATGTACATATACATTAGTACGAGTATATACATAATATAATATTTAAATGTACTACAGTTTCTTTTGCGAATTCTCTGAGCAATTGTTAGTTATTGATCACTTATCAGTATTGATGGAAATGTTCGCACGGAGCCGCCACTTGCGCATTTTTCTGTCATCTAAATGACAGTTTAGGTGACAAACTCGTAGAAAAATTAAATAAAAACATAAATAAATACATATAAACTGAGAAATAAAAATTAAAAAAAAAATTATTTGAAAAAAATATAAAAAAAAATTATTTTGAAAAAATGTATGAATTATAGAAATTGATAAGAAATACAAAGAATTATTTGATTTGTCAACAATGCAACGTAACTTAATAATTATAAATATTAATCAGAATTGAATTGTTAGTTAGGTCAGGTAAGGTTAGGTAAATTTTCTATAATTCACATATATATATATATATATATAATATATATATGGACTTCAAAATTTACACCTCAGCTAACTGCCTACATTAGGTTGTTCCTGAAATATTTTATGTGGGTAAGGCCTCGAATGAATTCCAGGTCAAAACGTTAGTAATATACCAAAGTACTGGGAGGAGAGTAATTTTTTCAAACTTTTTGGAATTAGGTTAGGTTATGTTGTGTTATTGTAGCTACCGATCTATCGAATCAATTACACTTAGTGGAATATCAGGAATCCTATTACTTTGTACATGCCTCCTCTACCTCGTGATCTCTTCTTATTCTATTTCGCCTAGGTATGCCTGGTTTTGCGGCGGATTGTAATTTCATTTCAGCCGCAGTGTCAAAGGCTTGTTCATATGGAATCATATTTTATTATATTCATTTATCGAGAAAGCTGCTTTTGCTAGTGGTAAGAGATATACTTTATCAAGATGAATCTGCTTGGTCGTACCTTGCCTAGCAAGTTCAATCACCTCAATGTCTGAATGCGACCAGGGACCCACGTGAGACAAAGTCTGTTCTCCTGTAGATAGCGGCAAATGTCCAGCACAATCTTTTTGTATTTAGTATAAGCGAACCCAGTGCTTTATATCAATCTGATTACTCTGCACTATACACATAATTGGCGCTGTGTAACCGCGGCTTGAAGCGGCTGAGCTCCTCCTCCAATTTGGGGTTTTTTGTATGTTACAGTTACAGTTTATACTAAGCCGCCTTCAAACGGATGATGGATTTTTACGAGGAGCTTTTATTTCATGTCAGAAATACACTCGAAGGGGTTGACATTCCCTGCCGAGGGGCGACAGCAATTAGCAAATTTAACTTAATTTTTTATTTAAATTAATTTTCTATATCTTTTGGATTTTAGTACGATAACGGGATAGGAAACCCGAACCTTCCGAATGGCAGTACGCAAAACACTCTTTATTAGGTCTTTATTGTGAAGATAATATCGTCAATGGGAGACCCGAAGGTTCAACCAGTTCATCCTAACCTAAACTATAGATCCAGGCTGCAACCTGGAGTGCGGTAATTATTTTTCTTTCTATCATATTTATCCAACATTTTCGAGTGACTCAATAGCTGAGAGATTCCTTCATTTGACTATCTTAAACAAGATGCGGCTGATTATACCACCAAGTCCAGTGGCAAGATATTGAATATAGAGCTTCACTAGGCGTGCTCCTCAGTGCACCTGTGATACACATTAACGCACATCTTTGAATCATATCTATGAAACTATATTTTGAAGCTTTATTTATAGTTGGTCACCGCATAACTGCTTCGTCTTGCTACTTATGTGTAGATCCATTGGAAAATACTGGCGCTTAGGCTCCATCTCTTCCCTATTGCTCCTGCAATTTCATGTGCAGAGGGCAGACTTCTCGCAGTGTTTGAACTATGCTACTTTTCCAGTTTGGTTTCCTGTCTAAGATAACTCCTAGAAATTTGTCCCTCGTCCCGAAGCCAAATTGAACACCGAGTAGGGTCAATGGCTTGATAGCGGGAATCTTATATCTCTTTATAAATATCACTAGTTTCTCTTTTTTGCCTTGATACAGAAACCACAACGATTTGACACAATACAATACTGTATCAAGTCGCTAATCGTCGGCGCAAGCAATAATTTCGCCTCCATCCCAATCCGTTTGCGTAATTAGCGTTTTTGTGAGGTTCAAGAGTAATAGATAGATAACTCTGTGGAGTGTCAAGAATTGTTCAGTCCGGTCAATTGTTCAGCTCATGCCGCTCTGCGTCCAAAACCACTAGCAGAGTCTGTAATTCGAGCAACGATGTAGAGCCATGTTCTTTAAACTTATCAAGTTCAGCAGTAACCGCGTTAGTTATCTCCTCGTTGCCATCAAAGAACTTTCCCTTTAATCTTTTATTTTAATTTTTAGAAATACCCAGAAATCACAAGGTGCTGTATCTGAGGAATATGGTGCTGGAAGTATTTCTCCGATTCCAGAGATCGGCATAAAATTACTCGTTATTTCAGCAGAAAGCGAAGGCGCGTCGTCCTGATGTAAAAAGTAGCGCCGCAAATCCTCTTTCTCCCTGTTTTCCAACAAATTTTTTAAAACTATTGTGAAGCACTCTTCGGCGTATCATTTTGCAGTTACCGTCTGACCCTTCTCCAGTGGAATAGCAGCTACGCTTTTAGATCGGGTGAAGTAAGTTGACATCATTACTTTTGCTGCTGATTTTTGTTGCTTAGATTTAACGGGTGGGCTTGCGCCTGTTGGGCTCCATACCATAGGCTGCTGTTTGGTTTCTGAATCGTACTTCTAGAACCAAGATTCGTCAGCAGTAACATGAGTTGCTAGACTTACTGTTTTCGAATTTGTTTAGGAAAAATTTAGCAAAATGCACCCGAGCCTCTTTTTAGATCTCATTTAAAATTCGTGCTATCCATCGAGCAGATGATTACTTAATATTCACGATGCATCCAGGGCATTCGAGCCCAATTAATAATAATTTCGTGTGTTAATCTTGAGTTTTCGTCAGTTTTGAACGGCACCAGAGCTACAGTGACGTCATCGGTGGAAGATTTTGGTCAAACTTCTTCGGGCTCGAACTCTACGCAAAACTGCCCGGTCAGGATTCTTCGGAGCCACTTGGAATTAGTCTTTAAAGACGTTGCAATCGTGTCATATGAAATTTGGCATTCACTGAAAATTTGAAATGACTGTAAATTACGTAGTAACCCGCAGAGAATCACGTGGCGAATTTCTATTTGTGTTGGTGGTGGAGTTTCTTGTGACCTATCTTCAGCTACCAAGCGTTTTCTCGTCTCCAAATCGGCCGCTCTTTCTTAAATTTATAAGGAAGACTAACAAAGAAATTGCAAAGGATTTGGTATTTTTAGATTTAACGAGAAAATCACCAACTGATCGAACTTTTGTTAATCCCCTCGCGTGTAGATCATTTTCACTGCACAAACTTGTAGTTTTTGAGTGATTCAAAATATTTTATGGATTTATTTTTCGCATAAAATAACTCATCAAACTAATTTGCTTCTCTTCTTAAATAAATAACACAAAAACTTGTTCATTTTCAAATCAACTTTTGAACTGCGCATTCAATAACTTTTGAATATTCATTTATATATGTATGTATGTATGTAAGTTGCGTATGTATGTATGTAAGTAAAACATGCCATTGCATTTAGTTGTTCGCTTAATTTTCCCAACCACTGAGCGTCAATATTGACTTAACGAAAAACTCAAAATCAAAATCAAAATCAAAATCAAACAAACTTTCCACTTTCCATGCCAGCAATTCAAATTCGATTTAAATGAAAGCCAAAGCTAAAACGAAAAAGTTAAGAATAAAAATTTACACCATAAAATATTCACTCGGGTAAATGCATAAACATGAATTTGGCAAACTAAATTGGGGAATTTGTACGCGTGCGTGTGTGTGTGTGTGTGTGTGCGTGTGTACGATGTGCACCTACACAAACACAACGTGAGGCTTTGTGCTCATTCCGAATTTTGCGAATTTCGATTGCCAAGCATAAGCAATGAATAAATTTCGGAAAGTGCGCGCTTATTACTTATCAATTCTGCAAGATTTCCCATTGAGCTGAGTGCCGTGTTCAGCTCTGGCGAGCAGAGTTGCGTTGAATTAAGTTGGTGTCGTACGGCAGATGGCGTACACCCCAGACACCAAAGCACAAGTTTCGCTTGCAACAAACAACAAATAACCAACGCCACTACACCCCACCCCACTCCACTCCATCCCACCACGACTTTTCTTTCCAATATCACGTTGATAGTTTGACCAACTTTTTCGTGTTTGCCTCCGAAAAGCATACGAGTGTATACGATATCAGTGCAAAGGAGAAAGTTTGTTGAGCAACTATTCCTGCAATTATATGAAATAATGCCGAAATCTGAGAATGCATAAACGCTATGGAGCCGTGTGGAGGAGCTTACGACTAGTACCCATAAATATTTACGTGCAACACCCCCACACACACACACACACACACACGTACACATACACATTGCATTTGTATAGTATTTGGCTTATAAGTGGCTTAGGGTAGACACCGGTGGTTCCTCTGCCACCGGAAACGGAAGTGTGAATGCAATTGTTTACTGCTTGCCTCAGCGCTTGTGGCAGTCGAGACGACACGGTAAGCGGTAATAACACCAGCATCAGCCCCAGCACAGCACTGAGTTGCAGGTGAGGAAGTATGCATATCACAGTGACACTCAGCAGGTGGTTGAATGAGGTCGCTTGCGGCATGTGATGGGTGGCAAACTTATTGGGTTAAGAAAAAGCGCAAATCTCAGTGTGTCTTGTTTATATTTTTGGTTTTGTGTTTACATGATTTTTGCTTATAATTACATAGATAAGCAGCCAAAAGGCATACGCAACCGAAAGCATAAAAAACAACTCTAAAAGAGAGTTAAAAACATAAAGCTGGCTGTAGCTAAAGATTGGACCAGGTAGGTAGGTGGGTAGATAGTTACAGTGTTTGTCTAACGCTGCATCTAGTAGGCTTCAACGAAGCCCATTGTGATACTTACAGAACTGAGTCATCTAGTTCAAAAAGCACTAGGTTGAGCCATCTACCGGTTGCTTTTTGAACTATTTCGCTACAAGGTTGGAAGCTTACGAAAACTGGAACTGGAAACGTGTATTTTTTTAAAATGACGAGAGGAGTAAGACAACTCGCCTTTCAAGCAGTTTGAGGCTCGTTATCGGACAAACCAACTCGCATACGTGCTGTTGTTGTGGTTGTTGTTCTAGTAGCGGCTACGTTATTCCCGTTTAGGGATAGATTTAAAATCAATCACTGAATCACTGAGGTCATGGAAACGTGCTGTTTCGACGGGATCAGACCAGAGGGAGAGTTAGCTTAAGGGGGCATGTGAAGAGGTGGTTAGCGTAGGAGACTCTGCACATGCTGGGCATACATTGGGTATGTCTGAATAGGTAGGAGTTTAATCAAGTAACTTACAATATCAAGACCTAAGTTGTGCCAGTAACACGGGGGTCTCTCAAGGCAGCCGGTTCTACGCACCGGAGTTGAACCGTTTTCTATCCGGCCAAGGGCTGTCACCGTTTCGGCGGCCTAACCCCGTTCGGTCAACAGGTCGCACAAGTGCTCGTCCGGTGCGCTCGAAAGGAAAATACTGCTGCTGTAGTTCAAAGTGTGTGCTCGAAAAGCCGTCATCATCAACTCGACTCCATTGCCAGGAATGTAGACCTCAGAATGAAAACTTTTAAAGTCTAATTGGTCTAAGAACCTGCAGCTTTGTTGTTGTTGTAGCCGCAAAAATATTTTCAAAATTAGTTTTTGTGGAGTTTTACGGGTGTGATAGTTGGTATAAAGACCTGACTGCCGCGTGAACTTTTGGATTTTAGTCGCCTCTTACGACAAGCATGCCTTACCGAGTGAAAATTCCTGAACCCCTACTCCGTAGTGGCTAGAACTATATCAGTTTCCCCTCCGTTAAGAAGTAAAACTACCGAATTTAGGGCTTAGAAAACCCACACGTAAGCACGAAAAGTGGATGCATTCCCTACTATTGACTGGTGTCGGCATATGGATCGGGGACATCAAAGTTACGTTTTTCTTCCAAAAGCAGGAAGGGTCTGCCGTTCCGAAAAAGGTGAATGCCAATTTGGCTGGATATTTTTTGTGGGTATTCAAACGCCAACCATCCAGAGATGACATGACTTGAAACACGAAGTTACCTAGAAATGTGTAGAAAAATTGTAAGTCTTTTACCGAGTTCATAATTATATTGTCAGGGGGCTCTAATTACGAGCGCAAACCTCGTGCTGTTGACTTAACGACAGAATCAAGGTAAGATTGTCAAACTCGACCCGCAATACCTGACATATGTCCAGCATGTAACGGGTCCTCGCACGACACTAACCACCTCTTTACAGGCCCCTAACACCAACACATCTAAACCACCTCTCCCTTTGGTCCGAACCTCTCGTAACGGCTCGTACTATGGACCTCTCGTTAGATGACCTCGGTGACTTGTATTAACTAGCCTGTCACTAGTCGGGATTGGAAAAGCCGGTACGATAACAACAACTCACTTTACTACGACGCAATTTACGTATGGGAGTCATAGCTAACCGAACTTTTATTAATCCGGACTCGTACTTTACGTAGCCAAAGTATTTTCCTGGAGAAACCAACCAAATCACCCACGGTTGCGAACCTGTCGAACATTTGATCTATGATGCTCTTACCGAGTCCACTAGTTTTTTGTTGACGATGAGTTTTAATCTTTCGTTTGGTGAACCAGATGAGACTTTACTTGCGATTTCGTCGATTCTACCCATGAATCCTATTAGTTCCTCACCCTCTCATTTAATTGAAACTAAAATCAATAGTTTTTTAATTATGAATTATATTTAATTATGTTTAACAGTCTAGAATTACATTTCATATATGTAGCCATTATACATGAGAACTAATGTTTGAATGCATGTGTTTACAGAAGTAAAATAACTAATTAACCGAAAATTGAAATTTTACTAAGATGTCGACGTTGATGGGCCTGCCTCAGCTGCTTTCGCTTGATGATGTTTCGCCACTGCTTCTTGCGCTTTACTCAATTTAATTTGTCCTTCCACAGCACGTGAGCGTAGCTCATTCTCTACAGATTTGTTGACGGTCTTGGAAATGGCAGCTTTAATCTTTTGTTGTTCATTGAATTTAGATTTTTTTGCCTGAATTGGTGCATCTGAAATATAAAGGAATACATTTTTACTATGCTATAACGCTAAAACAAAAGCCTTATGGGTAGTTGTACACCCATATTCCATTGTAGAGCTTCTCATATTCGAACATCTTCATTGGAGTTATAACTCACTTGATCTCCTTGTAAATGCCTTGGCATTTTTCTCCTTTTGTTTCTTCTGCAAACTTGCTGGTAATTTGGCTTTTTTGAATTTTCCTTGCACCATTTTTCTAAATTTTAATTTATTTTTGTTTATAACGAATAATTATAATTCCAGCACGTTGATTATTGAGGAAATGTCAAAATCAGGTGTTTAGTGAAATCGGCAGTGCTGCCAAGCTAAGAATTTAAAGCCTGGTTTCGGAGCATGCTTTTAGGCGCATCTAAATTTAATTTTCAATTAATTAAATTTAAATTTTAATATTTTTATAATTAATTTTCATAAATTAAATTTACATCATTCATATAAAGAAAATGCAGAAGAACAGATGCCGATACACCAAACACAAGAGCATGGAATATTCTTAAACAAAGTTTTAAAAAAGTTGCTGCGGATTTTTATAAATACTCACAAAATAAAAATTGAAATGCTTTTGGCTTCTCACTAGCCGTTTTTGGCGATTTATATCATAGAAAGCATCTAATTATGTACCCAAAAAGCATTTTAAGCGATTATGTGTTATCTTTATTGGTTAATTATATATTAATGTATTCCATTTGTTTGTAGCATTCGATTTCCGATTTCAAAACTTTATAGGTTTTCATCAACTCTACTAATACATACATATTTATATTAATATAAAATATTACACGACCATACGCTTCTTGAAGAAACATACCAATCGTTTTAATTTGTGTGCGTGTTGGCCCATTTTGTTCGCCAAATAGCAGTCTCCTGAGACCACATACCATAATAACATTCTAAATATTTAGTTGTAATTCTCAAAACATATAAACGCGTACATACATAAATACAAATATAACAAATTAACTAGTTAGCTTCGCTACAATAATGCCCGTCACAATTAATCCTATTATCACAGCAATAGCTAAAAGTATTAGAATTTTGCGACGATAACTACGACGATACTGTGAGGCCTTAGCCAGTTCCTCACGTCCTAATTCGACATCAGTGGCGGCATTTTCAACACTAGTTTCAATGGTGTCTGTAAGAAAGTTGGAAGTTATATCATTTATATGAATTTAATCTACATATATTTTAGGAAAATATATTAAGCGTACTCACCCACTTGTTCGCCTTGTGTTTGCACGAGATCATACACACGGCGCATTATCGCGTTGACATCTAGCACGTCAGCCTCAATCTGACGCAGCTGACGATCGCGATCTACAAGTAAATCCTGTTCGAATTGTAAACCTGCTGTTATTTGTGCTTGTTGTTGCATAAATTCAGCACGTTCGGCTTCAGCCTGTTCATCCTGTTGCTGACCCAACTGTTCCAGACTTTGACGCATAGCCGCGGTAATACGCTTCTGCACAGATGAATATTTCTCCACAACATTTCGGAAGTCATTGGTCAACTTTTCTAATTGTAGCTTTTGTTGCTTATCACCACGCCTAACCACCGCTGTGAGACGTTGCAAGTCTCGACTGATAGTCTCAATACGTGTGTTTGCCTCGGCATGTATATTATGCACTTTGTTCCGTGTCGCTTGTTGCTCTCTTCGTGTACCAATTACTTTAAGTATTTTTTCCAATTGTCTGCAGCTTGAATTTACAGAACTGATATTTTGACCAATATCCTCACTCAAGGACATAAACTCTGTGGGACTGAAACCGGAGAAGCTAACGTCGGGCATTATTGCATTGGCGCTGCTCGAGGTAGCGCCATAATCACGATGACCACCGGGTGGATTGTTTAAATTGCGTGACATCACTGCGTTCAACAAGCGCTGGGCGCACAAAGATTGTGTTGTTAGAATTCAATGTAGGGGTTGCGTGCTGAAAGAAAATCAATGAAAGAGCTCTGTAAACATTCACACATTTCTTTAAAAGCTGACGATAAGAGTTATGCATCGGGATGTCTGTATGTAAGAGTGTGCATAGCTATTTAGAGCAAGTTAAACTGCATATAGCGACCGCACACACCGCAAATGGTAACGACCGTAGTTAAGTAAATGATTCATTCAATACTCAATTGTACCGATATCATATTCTAAGCTTCTTTGATATACATACAGATGTAGACAATAAGATATTTTACAGGAAACATAACTTCATGCTATTGAGTGCAATTCAGACAAGCTGCGTACGTTGAACTCGATGCTATACAACTGGAGTTCATTGTCAAGATATTCTTAGACTTGTAGGGCTTCTTACGGGCAAACCCATCTGCGTACTATTGACAATCAATAAATGGCAAATTTTTATTGATTTTAAAACTCTGGCGTTTTTTATGCAACATAAACAATGTTAATTCGTATCGTAATGTACGAATTTTAATTCATTGTGTTGATAATGCGTTAAACATATCCACCCAACTCCCCCTCCCTATTAGCCTTGCCAAAAAACAAGTCATTAGCAACCACTTTTCACTAAATTGATTAGTCAGTATACAACATGGAAATCGTCGTGTCTTTGTTTTACACTTACCACTCACGCGCTTATCGATTTAAGCACAAAATTGAAATATTTACAGATTAAAACAAGTTGTTATTTTTGTGGAAAAATTCTTTCGCTTGCAAATGATTGTACGATAGCAATGAAAATAAATCTACTCGAACAAAATTGTACAAAAGTAATGACATTTGCGAATTTAGCGTTGCCGGATGACGTATAAATGTTATAAACTTGGCAGTACTGCCAGCAGCCCAGCAGAGAATGCGGCATTACGTGTGACACAATCGTCTAGAAATATAAACTTCGAGAAAGTTTAGTTTCAGACTTTTCTTTTCTATAAATGAAAATGCTTGGTATCTTCCTTTTACCTTGCCCTCATACAATTACACATTGGCTAATTTCATTCCTTTTATAAAATCAGCGTTGCGTTGCCTATATTTATGCCAATCACTGAAAGTTTATTTTTCTCTTCTTATGATTAATGCCACCTTAAGTTAGCTGCGCGAGGTCTCAAAGTTATATTTTGTATGGAACTCGGTCGAGGTAGCCGAGTGGTTAGCGTTGCATACTGCCGCTCGAGTTCATATTCAAGTGCGTTTGCGACCAACATTCAAAGAGTTATAGAAAATTAATTGAAACAAAAAATTAAGAAAAATTAAAGTCAACCCCCCGAGTCTATTTCATACAAGAAACAAACACTCCTCATAAGAAACCATCAGCTGTTCAGAGGCGGCTTAGTTTAAATTGTAGGTCCATTTTATTGGGGGAGGAGCTCAGACGAAAGCGCTTCAGCGATTATATGAAACTGTTATTACGTGGCGATTAACGCTGGATAGTGAATAAAGGTAATATTAAACACTATATTCCTTCTCTACAACCATTGCAACAAACACCTTTAGATTATTATCCCATTCTCCTATCGTAAAGCCGCATTAAGAGATCCTCTGTTATCATGATGGTGGAAAACTGGTCTAGAAGGTTTGCAAATATTTTTTCTGAGGACAGAGCTATGCCCACATCATGTGCTCAGTTTGTAGTGGTCGCATTTGACAGTGATCTGTCTAAGTGCGGGCTTCCTGTTAGGCCGTGCTGCGTTTGCGTAAAAGTTTTTTCTTTCATAAAGACCGTGAGCGTAGCCACATCATTACAAATGCAGAAGTTAGCTAAAGTTAGATATACTTCCTACATATCTCTTTGCTTTTTCTTATTGTCGCCGGGGTATACTGGAGAACGCGCACTCTGCAAACATGGGTAACATAGTAATCTTTTTGAAGCCTAGGCTGACGTCTGAAAGAAAGGAAGTTTCAGCAAACCGCGCCTCGCATATTTCGATTAAGGTTTTCTAAATCCGTTGAACTTCCTTTCATTGAGATATATCCGAATGGTATCATAACACAATTGTCTCTACTCCTGCAAACTAGAGGCACCACAGAGCTTCATGCTGATATCTTTGCTGAAATAAAATATACGCCCTCGAGTTCGAGGGAATATCGGAGCACTGATCTGCAGGGAAATCGGAAGCTGAGGGAAAATCACTTTTGTGGTATAGTTTGCCACAAGAAACCCAGAGACTAAGCGAAAATCTATTTATATTCTAGACATCAAAAAGAAAGGAACGAGGATCTTTGCTAGTGCGGTCTAAGAATATCAAAAAGCTTTTTACTCTCCAAGTTTTCCAAAGCTTATGTTATAGTTTTCTAAATCTTACTTGATGGTTTTCAAAGAGTTGCAACTGTAGTTTTAGCCAACTTCAATCGCATCATGGATTTTTTTAGAAGCATTTTATCTAAGGTAAGGGACTGATATTTGCTGCTAAAGTCTGTTCTTGTTTGGAACTATCTTCTCCTTCTTACTTTACAAAAAGCCAATCGATCTTTCAGATTCCAATGAAACCCAATGCAATTAATATTTTTCAAAGAATGTATTCATAATTTCTTCAGACTTTCATCTGAAGAAAACTATGTAGCTTTGCTCTCATCTCCTCTACCCTCTAAGTGGATCAACATATCATTTAAACTTATCACCCATTCTTAGCTGAGCTGGTTTATGAACGCAACTAAACTCTGAGATCCTACCTTCCATTCAACAACAAGCTATTCCTGCAGGGTTTTTATATTCGAATTTAAGGGTAGATAATTGATCGACGGAACACGTGTTTATGCTAAAAAAAAAGCTCTCGTGCACTGCAGGGGTAGGTAACACAAAGCAACAAGTGCACTGCATTATCGACATAACCGACAAAAGCACACGACCATTGACATTTGCCAAAAACTTAAATACAAAGTAAGCCAACAAATGCACAAAGTAAACACTTATAGATAACACAATATAAAAACCACCGAAAGTTGACAACCAAAAAGATACGCACGCAGGCACACTCAACGTATGTACATATATATAATATGTATGAGTGTATGTATAAGCTCCACTCCACTCGCGTCGCATTACTTTCTGCAAATCAAGAAGTTGGCGGCGGCATACATAGCAGCGCCGCGACGCGCAAACCAGCCAAACGGCCAACAGCAACAGTCAGTCACAATCCATCTTTCGCAGCAAACAAACGTTTTACCCCAATAGCGGTGGTGCCAGTGCCGGTGGAGATTCATACATATGTACATAGTGCCTGAAAGAAAAATTAAAAGTGCAAAAATTATTGTTTTTTGATTAAGGAGCCGCAACTAAAGTGGCAAACAGGAATGAAAAGTAGAATTTATTTTAGGTGAGCTCCGAGGAAAGTGAACCGCAAAACAAACCAACTACAATAGTAACGGAGTGTGCGCTGCTGCATTAGTTTGTGTCTTCATGCAACGTTTATGATAATTATAATTTGAATTTCGATTATTTATCGAAACCAATTTGAAGGTTCGGCAGTGTAAGCGTACTTAAGGCATATTTTTTTAAGTGTAACAAAATAAATAAAAAATATATATGTACATATATATTTTAATTTCTATGTAATGAAATTAAAAATTGCATTGGCAGCAATTTCATTACGATTATTATAAAAAAAGGAACTCTAATATAAAAAATAGTAATAATTGAATTTTGTCGTTGAACTGTTCGCTTGAATTTCTTGTGCAAGAAGAAACCAAAAGCCACGCAAAAAAAAAAAAAAAATAAAAATTAATTATTTAAAAAGTTACGGCTACAAAAAGTGTAAATATTCACAATAACAAAAGTAGAATCGAACAAATCGAAAATTTAATTGTTTTTGTTACTTTTTTTTAATATCCACACACACAAATTCGACCGCCTCCTGCGCGCCCGCATACCAAAGCGTACGACCTCAAGCCAGTAAACCAGCAAGAAGCTTGCTCAGTCAGCTATAATAATACGAAATAAACGAAAACTGCAACAACAAATACTTCCACGGTCAACTTTCAAACGTCAAGAGGCACCAAGGGACGACAGATATACATAGATAACTACAAGCCATCGAATTGGAGTTGAAATTAGGTAAACATAACAAATATACAAGCGTACATATATAAATATGAACATACATATACACAAAATATACTTACATGCTTTACATAGATAAATTACTTAACCATATGCATATTCAGTAGCTTTTAGGCCAACGTTTAACCAAAGAAAGAAAGTGCGTGGGCATATACACACATACAGACATATGAAGAATTGTATAAATATGTGTGTGTGTGTGTGGTGTAAGGTGTGGGAGTTGTTAAAGAAAAATAATATAATTTAAGAATGTTTTCTAAGTTTGTGCTGTGCGCGCGGCTTAAGTGTTGTGTGTCAAATCAAAATTTAATGTCTTACTGCTGTGTATACCGTTACTTTCTTTTGGCGACAATTTAACTACAACTTGTTGCTTTCGCTAATTTTTATGGCAGAGAAACAAAACAAAAAAAATAGAAATAAAGACAACAAATTAAAAAGAAAATAAATAAATAGACAATAGACAAAAAAAAATGTGTTGTGCTCGTCACATAAGTGCCGTTGTTTCCGGTGTGAAATGAACTTAGTTATTCATATTTGGCAAGTCAACTGGTTAATGAAGTGGTTGACAGAAATGTTAGACAAAAAGTAAATTATAAAAATTTGCTACTGTTTTTTTTTTTTTCTTATAGCGTATTTGACTTTTTAATGACAACGCGTATTTTATTTATATTAACGCAATGCAGTCGCAGCACATATTTTATTAATTGCAAAGAATTTTATTACACTCGTTTGCATTTAAATATTATACTTGCAAATTTGCATATTTGAAAAAAATATGTATTTCCAATAGAAACGGTTATATCGGCGGGCGAGTAGTGATTCATGAAAATTCTCTTTAATTCAACAATAAAAAAAAAGTCCCATCTCCATTTAATCAGTGCTTGGAAAATATGGTTTTACTTGGCGATAACGGTGTGCAATTAGAAATATGCGAATTACATTATAAATCAAACACTGTTTAACAAAAAAAAAACAAACTTAATTATTAAATTTTTCAATGCGTACATCGCTTTTATTTTGACATGAAAATATTATTAAAATAACAATAAGTACAAAAAAAAAATAAAAGCTATTATAAATATTATTATATATATTATATTATAAATATTACGGTCTAAGTCCAATAGTGTAAATATTTTTCTGAAATGCACCTCCATAATTTCCCAAATTCTACGAATACTATCACTGGATTATTAAATAAAGCTCGTCAAATCTCCTAATGTAAACAACTTAAGCAATTTATTGAATACAATAACTAAGAAGTCGCTTTACTATACACGATGAATTATTTTACAATTTTAACAATCTACTATTTTCGCACAATTTACCAACTATACAACTCTATCGCCGTTGTCACCACTGAGTTTACTTTGTAACTGACGAACATTGCGTTAGCTCTCATATAACCCATCAATTACTCGTACTCAGTTCCATTAGCCCTTACGATGCATGGCATATATGATACTCGCGCTCTAGAATGTGCATGAGTTATCGGCATCTCTTTTTAAACTGCCAATACTGAAAACTACAATTTTTGAAGTCACAAGTTTTGAAGTATAAGTTTTCCTCTTTTCATTCTTCTTCTTTTCATCGAAGTTTCTCGGCGTATTGACCAACAGAAATCAACAACAAGCATTACTTCCAACCATCTTCCATTGTGGCCTCCTGTGGCGTGTGTTCATCTGAGATTTTCGACAAAAAAAAAGTCGAATCCAAAATGGAGTTTGTGTGTAGAGCTTTATAAGCTCAAATAAGCTTTCGAATAATTTGCCGGTAGTTTTCAGCTTTTTTTAAGTCCTGGAAGCTCTCTATTTTTCCCTTTTCAACTTCGAAATGATCTCGAAAAAGTCTCTAATCTAATCTAATCTGCGGACTTGCAAAATTATTTGACTCAATTCTACTTTTTTAATGACTTAACTAACAAAATCCATAAAAATTTCTCATGTTAAAAAAATTCGAAAAATCTATTTGATATCTGTAAAAATTCCAATTAATACTAAATTTTTATTTATCACACAGAAAATAATTATTAACAATTAAGCTACATTTCTCCGAACAGATTTGATTTTCACTCGTTGATTTTTACATTTTCTGAGCTTTTAATTTTTCTTATTAAAAATAATCATAAAGTAACTTGAATTTGTTTGTAAAATTAAAAACCTTTATTTTTCTTCTACATGGATTTCGTCGCCTTCAAAAGAGTCCCCTGCCGATGCCATGCACTTATGCCAACACTTTTTCCAATTATCGAAGCAAGTCAAATGGTCACGTTCTGGTATGGCCTTCAGAGAGCGCATCGATACACGTTTAATCTCCTCAATCGACTTAAAACGGTGTACTCGAATTGGTCTCCTGAGTTTTTGGAAGAGCCAGAAGTCATCTCATCTCACATCTTCTGTAATCCTGCATTTCAGCTTGTCCAGGTAGTCAGAACACATGGTTTCACACACATCAACGCGACGACTTTTTTTCCATGAAATGGAGTGTTTTTGGAACCAAACAGATTTTTTTACAGATCCTTCTAATATTCCAACCATATCAGTAAAGTCTCTAACAGTCAATCGACGATTTTTGAGCATTAATTCCTTAATTTCATTGAGGTGTTGCACATCAGTTTACGTTGATGGTCGTTCCCTGCGCTCCAAGTTATCAACACGTTTTCGACTCTCTTTGAAGTTTTTTTGCGACATAATTGAGTCCCCAAAGGCTTTCTGTAGCATCCTCAATGTTTTAGAAGCCGTAAATTCAATCCGCAAACAAAATTTGATCGCACTTCAATGCTCAATTCATCTTACTTTTCGCCCATATGTACATGTGTTCATACAGTGATGAACTAAAGTATTGGCACAGCATTATAATTCAACTTTCACACCTTTTTTTGAGAACTTATGAAAACATTTTTAATTCCGAAAAAAAATTCTAGGCGGAGGGACAAACTTTCAACTATTTTCACTTCATTTCATTTTATTATAGATTACATATGTTTCTAGGTATGTTCAATTTTTTCGATCAAAAATATTCCTTGGACTTTGAATTCGAAAATTTTCTCCAAAAATAATTTTTGTTTTTTTTTAGTTTTATTTTTCTGAAATATTTTACTCAAATAAATAAAAAATCGGAGCAAAATGTTTTCGTTCAAAATTTAAAATTATTCACACCGAATCGCTCAAAATGTCACAGCGGCTTTCTAATAAATAACACATTGAAAATATCTTTCCAATTTAAATTAACATCACATTTAAATAAATAAAATTGAATAAATAATTGTTTTTTTTTTCATTCATTTTTGCTATAAGTTTTTAGTGAGCTGAATTAAATAAATAAAATTAATTATATACAATTAAATAAATAAATAAAATAAACAAAAATATTTGATTATTTCCAAAGGAAAGTTCAGCGAATTGAGAAAAATATTTTGCACTATAACTTAATTATTTAAGGGGCACATCTAGTGTGAAATTTCAAAAAAAAAATTGTCCTTTTTTTCATATTTCGGTAGATTACACATTTAAAAATAACATATATGAAATATCGATCTCAGACAGTTTTTGAGTTATAGCAATTTAAAGAGCAGCCGCTCGGCAGCTGAGAGTCTCATTAGCTACGAGTGAAAACGATAATTTTATCTTTAAACAACAAAAAATTGAATTTTAGCAGGCCAAAAACGACCAAAATTTTGGATAAAATTCGACTATTTTTTTAAAGCATTTTTTTTTGATTTTTTTTATCGTAGGTCATTGTACAGATAATATTATATAATCTAACGAGAATTTTTTTTTTAGATTTCATCCACGTAGAAGGCCGGAATCACTGCAGCAGTGAAGGATCGACTATAACTTAAAAAATATTTAATTTTTTTCTTCAAAAATTTCACTGTATATTCTTGAAACAAGTATGAATATATTATTCAAATTTTTATTTTTATTTATTTTAGTTTTTTTAATAAAAATTCCCAAAAATCACCTTTTTTATGCCATGGTGAGGGTCAGGCGTGACCCCTAAAAATAAATGGACATGAAACCGATAAATAAAAATTATATCTGAACTAAAGAGTATAGAATACTTTTTGAGCTATATGTTAAATCTAAAAAATAAAAAATTAAAAATTATTGAAAATTTTTTAATTACTGAAGAATGATTACAAAGCGATTCTTTGAAAAAACCAACTCTGATTTAAGTAAAAGTTCCTATAAAAAATCTACAAATTATACTATTGTACATATAAGATTAATATCAGACACAAATTGCGCAAAACAAATAGTTTTTTTTCGCCATTGAATGGACTCGACAATTTCACACAACATTTTTGTATGCCACACTTTTAATTAAATAAATTTTCTGCATCAAAAAAAAAGTAAAATAAAAAGAAATATTCAACCATAAATCATATTGACTCGCGTATTTATGACGCTAATTAAGTTAAGTATATAAATTAACTCTTTCTCACATAATGCTATCGAGTTTTACCGCTTCCTATTTTTTAGAGTGGCGAAGACATTGGCAAAACACATTGACATATTTACGTGTATACGTGTATGTTTGTACATATGTATGTGTATGAATTCATAAGCATGCGTATAGCCATAACGCTCCTTAGCTTCCTTCTTGAGCACGAAAAAAGAAAACCGGCAGACAAGACAATAAAGAAGATAGTGAGTGAAATGCTCGTAAAATAATCAAATAAATAAAAACAAAATGACGCTTTAGAAAAAGTTGTTCTGCCAGTTTAATATATGCCACATTGGTTGTTTGTTGTTGGTATGAAATAGGTATGTGGTGGCTTTTTTTTTGGTGTCGCTGAATATGCTTTCCTTAGCTTATTTTATACATACGAGTATATGTATATGTTTGTAAGCACAACAACAATAAGCACTATTATTATCAACTACATCGTCGTAGACAATAGCCAGCGCACCAGCGTTTGAACTTCGCAGGCAAGCGTCTTGAAGCCTCTACCATACGCGCTCATCGCTAACGAGACACAGCCGCCTCGG